GATTTTATCAAATGGCCAGCAGACACATCTGTCAGAGAAGAGACTGGGGTTTAATAGGTTCTCTTTGGGGGACAGTTTTGTAGCTATTCTCAAGAGTGGCAGTAATAGTAAGATAATGGCCAATGGTCTCATAGCAGCTTCTAGCCCAAAGGAGACCAAAAAAGGAATCACTTCACCCCGCACTGCCAGGCAGCCATCTCTGGGGTGGAACATGGCAGCTCTTTAACAGAATCCTAAAACGTTAAACAACAATTTAGGATATTAAGTCCTGCATCCAACTGAAAATGCACGGGGAAATGTGAAGAACAGGAGATTATCAATGACACCATAACCAGAAATGGGCCAGCACCAGAGCTACTACCCTGATACGTGTGAAAAGTGAGTTGGAATCTTTCACACCCACTAATAGTCAAGACTTTGGTTTTACAGCTCATCCCAAAGACAGCAGCCCCTCCAGCAGCACACTCACACCTAGCGCCATCCAGTGGTGAGTGCAGGAATTCCTTATACACTCTAGTTTGCAAAGGGCTTTGGTATGAAAGTGCCGTAGAAATGCAAGGCATTATTATTCCCGTCTAATCTGGAAACAGAGAGATTTTCTCTGACAAAACCAGCTGGCTCAAGCATCTGTTCTACCCCACAAAGTGCCCAGCATGTAAAAATGAGCCGCATAGTGGGAGCGTTTGTAAACGTGTCTCCCTTGCCATGCAGAAGCTGATGAGGTGGGGAGAAGGGCCCATATTCTCCAATGTGCCTAGTTCCCATTGAAATGCACCTAAATCCCTTTGAGCATATGGGCGAAGGTACTTCACACAGGCAACCAGGGTTCTCTGGCTGCTGAAGTAGGAATCAGATTAGCAGCCGTGTTAGTCTGTATCAGCAAAAAGAACAGGAGTACTTGTGGCACCTTAGAGACTAAAACATTTATTTGAGCATAAGCTTTCCTGTTCTTTTTGAAGTAGGAATAAATCTCTTTTTACACAATAGAAACAAAATACCGTTACTAGCAGTAAAAGGCTGCCCTATGTGTAGGGCCCTACAAATTCACAGCTGTGAAAAATGCATCACGGACCATGAAAATCTGGTCTCTGCCATGAAATCTGGTCTTTTGTTTACTTTCACCCTATATTATACAGATTTCATGGGGGAGACCAGTGTTTCTCAAACTGGGGGTCCTGACCCAAAAAGAGGTTGGGGGGGTCACAAGGTTATTGTAGGGTGATTGTGGGATTGCCATCCTTACTTCTGTGCTGCCTTCAGAGCTGGGCAGTCGGAGAGTGGCGGCTGCTGTCCGGGCGCCTGGCTCTGAAGGCAGTGCCACTGCCAAAGTAAGTGTGGCAATGCCATACTATGCCACCCTTACTTCTGCCCTGCTGCCTTCAAAGCTGAGTGGCTGGAGAATGGCAGCTGTTGACTGAGGGCCCAGCTCTGAAGGCAGCAGGGCAGAAGTAAGGGTGACAATACCACACCATGCCATCCTTACTTCTACAAAGCTGCTGGTAGTAGTGCTGCCTTAAGAGCTGGGCTCCTGGACAGCAGCCGCCGCTCTCCAGCCGCCTAGCTCTGAAGGCAGCGGAGAAGTAAGGGTGGCAATACCGCGAACCCCCTACAATAACTTTGCACTCCCTTCCCACAACCCTCTTTTGGGTCAGGACCCCCAGTTACAATACTGTGAAATCTCAGATTTAAATATCTGAAATCATGAAATTTATGATTTTTAAAAATCTGGGACCATGAAATTGACCAAAATGGACCATGAATTTGGTAGGGCCCTACCTATGTGTAGGGAACCTGCTGTGCAAAGGTCCTGAGCCATTCTCACTGTGGCCTTGTCTACACACAAAGTTGTACTGGTTTAACTGAATTGCCTTTAAATCAACTTAAGTTAGTGTAGTGCAAAGACCCACGTGCACTCTTGAATTGGTTTAAAAGTGTTTTTTGTCAATTCAATTTAAACCAGTTAGAAGCCAAATTAAACTAAATTTATGTAAGCCACATTTAAATCAATTTAGGTGCGTCCACACAGGGTTTTTCACTGAATTAACTAAACTGATTTAAAAGCACATTATAGTGAAATTGGCACAAGTCTGTGTGCAGACCGGGCATAGACCATTGTCACTCCTGGTCAATAGCTTTCAGATGAGTTCATAAAGGGGTTGTGACATCAGCAAACTGGCTTCATTGAAAACTCACTCCTTCCCACTTTCTTTACCAAGGGTACAGCAAAGCCATGACTTCAAGCATAGCACTAGAGGTGCACGTATCTGGGCCAAGCTCCTTCCCTCTGCAATTAATTACACCTGTGATTATTGACAGGGAAACAATTATAAGGAGCATCTCTTCCCTGAGGAGGGACTACAAAAATGGTACAATGGATTTCATGTTTCTTGTGCCTCCAGAACAAATGTGCTCAGTTTTTGACAGCTAGCCCTGGGATCAGAGAGCAAAGCTGGGCTTGTTCCTTCCCATGCATCATCGCTGGTCATTAAAATTCTGCAGACCACATTACAGCTTCAGTGACACTATTGTGTTCTGGGATCAGATAACTGGCCTTGTCATTGAAACTCAGTTGAGAGTTCTGTTGATGACAAATGCTACATGAGAGGTAGATATTTATGATTAATATTTTATTAATCATCATTATTATTATTGATGATAATTATGCACAAGCCAGAATACAATGATGATTTATGATCTGGAGGATTTATGATCTGGAGGATGGTGTATGATCTGGAGGATGGTGTGGACTGCACTCTTAGCAAGTTTGCAGATGACACTAAACTAGGAGGCGTGGTAGATACACTAGAGGGTAGGGA